TAGAATGATTTCTGAAAGATCATGTGACTCTGAAGACTGGAGTAATGATGCTGAAAATTCATCTTTGATCACAGGAATAAATTACATTCTAAAATATATTCAAATAAAAAAGTTAATTTAAACTGTAATAATATTACTGTTTTTACTGTATTTTTTCTCAAATAAATGCAGCTTTGGCGAGCATAGGAAAAAAATCGTACCCTACAGTTTTGAACATTAGTGTAGCTCAAGAAACAAAGCAGAACATATAGTTACAACTGAATATATATAGTATATTTGTGACTATTACATGTCTCCAAATGAACGCAAACCATTTCAGATGTCACATTCATATAATTTCACATATATTTGGTCATTACAGATGTCACTCAGTTACACTGGGATGCAGTTTAAGCAAATATTGAGGTATTTGTAACCCATGACTTGTTTGCACATACTAAATGCATTAATTAGAAGTAGATCTAATTGACTAGTTGGTGCAATCGTCCTCAAAAGTGCTAATTTTATCAGCATGGTAACTTGTAAACACAATGGGTTTCTCAGTGTTCATATAAATAAAATGCTGGAGGTCGAATGCATGCTGCTCACCAGTTCTATGAGTTCTTGGTAGCAGACGTGTCCGTGTTCGTCGCTCTGTACCAGCGCCAGCAGCATCTCCAGTTTACTGGGGTCCAGCTGTAACTCATGGTGCTCAGCTAGACTGGTGAAATTTTCCACTGCTATAAAACCAGTCTGCTCTGGGTCCAGCTGAACACCAACAGAAAGAGAGAACGAGCCAGTGTTTAGTTTATATGCATTCACATACAGTACACATTCAAGACTAACATGTGTTTATTACACACACAACACACAAAATAAATGTAACATGCTACATGTGCTGTGCATTTGCTTGTATATTTGTATATATAATGCGTTTAAAATTTAACAATATGATTCAACGTAAACTGGAATGACTCCCAGTGGGTGAGCAGTGAAATCTCTTTGCTGTACATGGATGAATCTGTGATTGATAATACAGAATGTTCTGCAAATGAATAACAGCAAGATGCCTTTATAGTACATCAAGCTGTTTGAGCAAGAAAAATCCCTGGCCCCTTTAACACGGACACATATGCGGTTAGTTTAAGCAACACAATTGTGACTCAAACATAGTCATTCTGCACCATTCATCTGTCTGCCACACACACACACACACACACACACACACACACACTCAAAGATTCTGTAAGCATTTCACATTACTGTGTGTGTGTGTTTGTGTGTAACTATGAGCCTGAAGCACTTCCCTAACCGATCCAAACGGCAAAGACAACCCAGGAGGACACACACATGGCTATTTCTGCTGTCTGTGTTTACTCCGAATTACTTCTGAGTGCTATATTTAAATTTCAGGGGGTATATGAGTAAAAGAGGAAAAGGAAAGGAAGAAAGGGAACAAGGTAGGAAGGAAGGAAGGAAGGAAGGAAGGAAGGTATAGTACATCAAGCTGTTTGAGCAAGAAAAATCCCTGGCCCCTTTAACACGGACACATATGCGGTTAGTTTAAGCAACACAATTGTGACTCAAACATAGTCATTCTGCACCATTCATCTGTCTGCCACACACACACACACACACACACACACACACACACTCAAAGATTCTGTAAGCATTTCACATTACTGTGTGTGTGTGTTTGTGTGTAACTATGAGCCTGAAGCACTTCCCTAACCGATCCAAACGGCAAAGACAACCCAGGAGGACACACACATGGCTATTTCTGCTGTCTGTGTTTACTCCGAATTACTTCTGAGTGCTATATTTAAATTTCAGGGGGTATATGAGTAAAAGAGGAAAAGGAAAGGAAGAAAGGGAACAAGGTAGGAAGGAAGGAAGGAAGGAAGGAAGGAAGGAAGGGAAATTAGAGGAGAGGAAAGGAAATGAAAGGAAGAAAATGACAGAAAGAAGGAAGAAAGGAAAGATGGAATGAATGAATGAATGAATGAAGGAAGGAAGGAAGGAAGGAAGGAAGGAACGAACGAATGAACAGAGCTGGGTAGATGACTTACAAATTGTAGTCCATTACTGATTACACATTACATGATGAAAACTGTAGTTAGTAAAGTAATCTAGGGTACTCTTTTTAGGAAATATATTCTGAGTACTTTTTAGATTACTTTTATATTACTTTTTTTTATCTAACTAGTTTTAAACTTACCATGAAAGATACCATATTACGGCGCCCTAAAGGGACATGGTGGTGGAAAACATTCGGGGTGGGAGGAAATAATTTGTTGCGTTCTCTCGCAAAGGAAGGAAGGAAGGAAGGAAGGAAGGAAGGAAGGAATGGAAATTACAGGAAATGGGAGGAATGAAGAAAAAGAAAGGAAAGGAAAGGAAAGAAAAGGAAAGGGAAATTAGGGGAGAAAAAGAAAATTAGAAAAAGAAAGAATGAATAGACTGCAAGAAAACAAGAAAAAAAGCAAGAAAGAAATAAGCACATAGAAACTACTAAATGATGTGCTAGCCTGTAATGATGTAGAAACAAACAGGAGGAGGAGGAGGAAGAGGAAGGCGAGCGGGTGAATGTGAGGGCTCTGTGTAATGAGCGGAGGATGAAGGATGGAGGGATGAGAGCAGCAGACACATGTGGAGAGAAGGGTGGAACTGAAAGAATCAGTTAGTGAGGCGATTCAGCACAGAGGAGAGCCGCTGCCGTGTCACCATGGTTACAAATTACCAATGTGTCACCCCGAGAAAGACTGACACTGCAAGTGTGTGTGTGTGTGTGAACACCGTCAGCGACTGATCAACCACAAATCACACCACAGATCTACCATGTAAATATACCATGGCGCTATCAGGGAAGGGTGAAGAGAATCTGTGCTGAAGCATCAGTGTAGACTAGTGTGTGGCGGTCTGAATGCAGCTGATGGTCTGTTCATTGATTACATGAGCCTGAACAAAGCCCATTCCCTCCGCCTGTCGTTCGCTGCTAAAGTGTGCTAAAAAGAGCCTTACTGTTGCCATGGTTTCTGAAAATACACACCATATGGCTGAGCCCAGAAACATCTGAGCAATGATATGGTGTTAGTAGTAAAATATGTCAGCTTTCACATCACTAATGATCTTAGGTTTACACTGTAAACCTTACAAAGCAGTACTGGCCCATTACCATGGTACAATGACGTATCAGGCGAAATATTAGAGTACTTTGATAAATATGAAGGTATTTAAATGGCATCCAAAGATGCACACAAACAACTTTGAAAGTTTAGGGTTGTTTTTAAGTGTCTTATGCTCACGAAGGCTGCATTTTTTTTTAAATACAGTAAAATATTGCAAAATATTATAACAATTTAAAAGAACTGTTTTCTATGTGAATATATTTTAAAATGTCATTTATTTCCGTGATGCAAAGCTGAATTTTTCTTCATATTTTTGAGGAAACCGTGATATATTTTATTTTTTTCAGGATTCAGGATGAACAGAAAGTTGAAAAGAACAGCATTAATTTGAAATAGAAATCTTGTGTAACATAAATGTCTTTACTGTCACTTTTGATCAATTTAATGGATTCTTGCTTTATAAGAAATTCTTTATGAATAGAACTGCTGCATTGAAACTCTAGAGGAGACACATTACTGGGGTCTCAGGAGAAACATCTGAAGTGCTGATAGGCAGCACACTATCACTGCAGCTGGTCACTGACGAAGAGTCTTAGTGGACCAACTGCTGCTGTTTTATGCAAATATAATGCTAAATATGGTGCGGCAATCCAACTATCAACTGCCCTCTTTCTCTCCAAACAGCTGGTGCCAAAGCAAATACTGCTTACACACACATACTGTATATATAACAAGATTTTTACATTTTCTGATCAAAATGTGAGTGGTGCCTGAGTAAAAGTTGCCGTCAAGATGCTATAGCTTTGTGGGTGGTTGCCAGATTGGTGCTTAAAATATTGATCTGTGTTTTTCACCTAGTGATTTTATTATTTATTTAGCATGGAAATGAATGTGCAAAAGTGAAAAATAACATGTTAGCAAATAGGTGTGTAGTACAGAAACTATTTTCCATGCAAACGTGCACAGAAATAACTAAAGACATCACAAAGAAACATCATCTGATGATATTCTGAAGCTAAATATTATTATGAGTGAATTATAATGATGATTAATGTTTGTTCAAATTAAGTTTAAACTGATTATGTTCTGTAATTGTTTTCTATTAATAATAAACAACAAATATAAGTCTGATAAACTGCAGTAAAGTCCTATTAAATGTAAAAAAATTAAAAAAAAATGGTGGCTTTTGCATATGCTTTAATTGCTCAGTTAATCAGAAATGAAAAACATTTATATGGTATTTATATATATATATAAATTTTCTGGATATGGTTCAAGTCCCAAGTTCAATGCAAGTCTAAGTTTAATACTTAAAATCGGCGATTTGAACCAGTGCTATTTTAATATCACTGATATATTGTATATTTTGTGTTAATATTTTACATTTTATTTTTATCTTTATATTTTCAGTTTTAATTTATTTGGTGTTATTTGTCATTTTTATTGTTTTTTTTAAGTATATCTATATACTTTTTATTATTTATTTATTTAGTTTATTTAGTCTTTGTTATTTTAGTACTTCAAGTTAAACTAAACAAAAATGAGTATTTGTTTTTTAAAATATATCTATATAGTTTTTATTATTTATTTAGTTTTAGTTATTTTAGTACTTCAAGTTAAACTAAACAAAAATGAGTAATGTTGGCAACTAGATGAAATAAAACAAGTTAAAGTTTTTATTTTGTTTTATTTTATTTAACATTTATTTTATTTCAAGTAATGAAAATATTTTTTAGTTTAACTATAACCCTGATTTGAAGAAAGCTTTAACACTGAGTATAAGCTATAGCAATCCGTACTTCACAAGCTCCACTAACTAAACTCCAGTCAGTGAGAAGAGACGCTGGGTAATTCTGTAATTTAGAGCTGTCTTCCATTAATTCAGTTTATCACACAGAGCGTTGAGTGTGTGTGTGTGTGTGTTTGCATGTGTGAACTGTGTGCGTGTGCATTAGAGCCAGAAATAGTCTGAGCTCAGCACTGCTTCCTACAGCAGAAAATAAAAAAAATCATAATAAACTGAAAGGTTAAGCATCTTGCCTTTACACACACACACAGTAGAAGCAGCACATTCACACTATACGTACACTAACACACACACACCCACGCGACACAAGCAAACTGTCAGGCATCGCTTCTGTCTGACAACACACTTACTGTACAAGCAAAATCAGAAGCACAGCGCATGTGAAAACATATGAAACACACCCACACCACACCATACCAACACAAACACACACACTCCACTCTCAGATGTCAGACTCTCAGATGTGTGTGTGTGTGTTTGTGTCCCTCATCTCCTGAGGCAAAGATCAATTCTGCCCCTCCGACTGAATGATTGCATTTCCTATCCATCAATCAACCTAATCTCTCAGCATCAGCATAGATTAGACAACAAAATCAAACACGCACACACGGATATTTCCTAATATGACTTCCAGCATCCTTAAATCACTGCTTTAAAAATACACCATGCATTTACAATTCACATGCTCTCGGAGGTTTATGAGAAAATGCATTTATTATATGAGTGATCATTTTCAAAAAAACAGCTATGGATATATAAATTGTCCAGGATTTCTAAGGTTGCCGGGGTGTTACTATGTGGTTGCTATGGTGTTTAGAATGTTTTTAGACATGGTCAACTTTGAGTTGTTACATTTTCGGCAAACTAATGAATTATGTTACTCAGAAGAAAAAGATATATTCTGATTCTGATCACTTATTTTGCAGCGATATCGTCGACTTGATTGCACAGATACTATTTAAACTGAACTGAGCTGGATGATGACATCACTGAATTCAATGATGAACTGCCTTTAACTGAAAATTGAGTGTTTACTATTGTCCTTTTGCATTATTGACACACTTACATTTAGTCATTTAGCACTTTTATCCAAAGCAAATAAAAAATAGATTTATATATTATGTGTGTGTATGTATTCTTCTTCTTATTATTTTTCATTATTAATATTTTTTTTAAGTTTGGAAGTAATCAGTGGAAAACACTGAATTGCAGATGAATAACCAATACAAACCATTTATAAACCGAGACTAGAAAGCGTGACCTTTTTTCAAGCACATTTAAATCAGAATTTTGCTTCAAGAATGAAACTAATTAGCATATACTCATGCATATGTATTCAAACCAAAGCTGTTGTTTGAATCCTGATGAATGTTTGAACTCTTGTGATGTGGGCTGCCAGTACTTGGAACGAGTTTTTGGTTTTTTGGTTTTGCCAAGGTAACTCAGCAAGAAGTACCAGAGCATCTCAATGTTAACACCTCCTTGTAAAGTAGCTGTTCAAACAGCAAAACTCTTACTTAAGAGTTCTCACTGACCTCCTTCTATTTCTACTTCTGTACTACGTAGAGAGTAATGCATTCTGCAAACTGGCAGGTCAGACTGAGGGTATAAATAAATCACGTTTTTGCAGTGTTTGCACACAAACCAGCTGTAAAAGAAAAAACAAACAAACAATGTGCTATAAACATAATGTGTCATTTGATGACTAAACATATTTTGGTATTTCTTTGTGTCTGTTGCTTACATACATCTCTTGAAGTGCTCAGCTCTTTTCTGATCAATGGTGAGTGTTTTTGGGTCTCCTCTTTGAGTCTCAGTTACCAAGGTTTCCTTCTTTTCACTGAAGGATTTTTTCCTGTTTTTATCATCCAGTGGTTCGATTGGAGGCTTATGAGTGAAGCAACTCAGAAAAAATTCAAATGAAGCTGAACTGAAATTAAATTAGCTGAATTTAACAATTTATATGGTCAAAACTAATAAAGCAGCTGAACTGATCTAAGTGGAAATTAAATGAGCGGAACGTAACAATCTTTACTGTCAACAGCGATAATGATGTTTAATGGAACTGATCTAAATAGAATCGAGTTGATCTTAACTGAACAATCTGTTAAAGCGTCAACCTGACTTAAGTGAACTGAATTGAATTAACCTGATCTGAAATTAAATTGAAGTCATAAACACCCAAAAAGCTGCATCGCTACTTTTCTGCATTTTACATCTTCCAGCTGCTGTTAAAATAGAAAAATACATGATAATGAAATATAAACACTACTGTTCGAATGTTTGGGGTCAATAAGATTTTTTTTTACCTTTTATCAAAAGTAACAGTAAATATGTTTAGAATGTTACAAAAGACTTCCATTTCAAACAAATGCTGTTCTTTTGAACTTTCTAGTCACCAAAGTATCCTGAAAAACTGTATTTTCACAAAAATATGAAGCAGCACAACTGTCTTCAACACTGATAATAATCAGAAATGTTTCTTGAGCAGCAAATCAGCATATTAGAATGATTTCTGAAGGATCATGTGACACTGAAGACTGGAGTAATGATGCTGAAAATTCAGCTTTAATCACAGCAATAAATTACATTTTAAAACATATTCACATAGAAAACAGTTCTTTCAAATTAAAATAATATTACTGCATATTTAATAAAATAAATGCTTCCTTTAAAAAAAAAAATGTAAAAAATCTTACCAACTCCAAATATGTGAACAGTAATGTGTTTAATTATGATTTAGGGTAATAAAATAGCATGCATGTTAAGTGTATACATCCACATATTTCAATACATTAGCATACACAACCAAGCATGTGTTGTGCACCAGTGCTGATGTCTAGTGTACTACTACTACACTAACAGCCACTGACTGAACATGAGGACCTCTCAAACACACACACACACACACACTCCAGTACTCATTCATTCCGAATGTCCATCTCGCTCCGCAACGGCCTAGAAACACACACACACACACACACACACACACATGCACGTCGATGCACAGGAGGATGCAGTAACCATAGCAACCTGCTGCTGCTTACCTGCTCTTGTATGAGCTGAAACAGACAGCTTCTATCCATATACTGGGCCCTGGTGCGCACACAGCCACAAAAAGAAGGACATAGGGGGAAATGGCACGCAGAGACACGTACACACACACACGCCAGCGGTCCGTCGGTCCGTCTGCGCGGCACGCCTCCCCAACGGGGAGAGAGACCCCTCGCACGCACGTCAGAAAGGGCCAGTGGAGTATCCGCAGGACGTCCTCCGGTGAGGGAAGACAGCGGAGCCGTCAGTCCAGGGTTCGGTTGATTCCAGCTGGGTTCAAATCCAAAGTCTCACTCGCCGTCCAGAACCCACAGACCCTTGTGGCACTTTCGCACCCGCTTCTGTCCACCTCAAAATCGCCCTTAGCTTGCAGCCGGTCCAGTTTTCTCTCACTGTCCTCCCTCAACCCGTCTGTCCCGCTCCGCTCGCCCGTCTTGTTGTGCTCGTGTCGCCTTTACCTCTGTAAATCTCTCCCTCTCGCCCTCTCTCTCTCCTCTGTCCTCCACAAAGACCATACTACCTGAATACCAATGAAGGAGGGGAAGGAGGCGGCGGACTGCAGCCAATCAGAGGCGATGGGGGCGTGTCCAAAGAGCTGCAGCTCTCCATCTACCCTGCAGGAGTCTTAAAGAGAGACTAAACACACAAACACACACTCACTGCAGAGCACACACACACACACATACACACACGGCACGCAGGCGCACTTGGATTTCCTAAATCAGACATTAATCACACGCAATGTTTCAAAGTTGTAAATGAAACAAAGATTATTGGAGTCATGTTTAATTAAATGTTTTACTTGCCATTTTTTCCAATTGTTTGTGAAATTCTAGCAATTTCTGTGTGAAAACTGCTTCCAATTTTTTTCAGTATATTGCTAATATAGATTTTAAAATATATTTCTATTTATAATGACCTAATTATCTTATTATAATATAATTATATTTTTATAATTATAGTATTTATCATACATTTTGTTTTGCCTTTGCTTTATATATTTGCAATATAACTATTTATATTGTTCAAAATATTTTCAAAAATTAAAATATTTTGCTTTTATCTGTAACCTTTTAAGGTTTAAATAAAAAATATTTTCCATTTAAAAAATATATTTACTTAAGCAGCACTGTTTACCACATATATTTAGTATATAGTTAAAATATATTCAGAAAAAAATACTGTTTATATACTTAAAAAAATGAGTATTATTTTGTATTTTTTTTTGCCATATGTGTTTCTGTAGCACAAACGGAGTGGGGACGTTTATTGATTAGAGTTTGTTCAAATCTCTAACCCTAATTATGAGCAATGCTGTGACGCAAGCCTTCACAAACACCACTAACAATCGTGACAGATTTGAACCTGGAGCTAAACAGATTGTGCAGATTTTCTTAAGACACAAATGTGTATGATAGCACGCTCTAATTGGTGGAGATTTTACAGTTCACATGGACGTAAAACACAATCAAGTGGGTTCACCATTTCTTATTCTCTTCTCAAGAGCAACATAAACCAGAATTTCCATTATACTCCGGCCACGATCATTTCTATGAATGCATCTGCTGTGCTGTCCACGTGCATGATGCAGTGATTTACAGTAACACCTGAGTGTTTAATCCACAGCGTCTCCATCAGGACTCGGGAGGATCAATGACGCTGACTGACACTTAATCAACTAAAGTTTGAGTCCTCAAATAGATATTTGTAACTCATGATATTCATTCTTACTGATACTTGTGTGTATCAATCTATCACTGGCCTCGTGCTTATGAACTCCATGACCTTTCTCCTCTGGTTAGCATAATATAAGACAGCACTGACATTGATCAATGAGCAGAAAACCCCACGAAATCTGTTTTTCCCAGTAAGCATCAATCAATATCATTATTATGTTATGACTATGAGGTGTGCAATTAGGTGTGGAATCTCAGTACATCAGCAAAATAGGCATTTATAATGTATTTATGTGCATATTTATTAAGTGTTGTTTTGAAAGTAAACTAATTAAAGAGAAAAAACATGTTTATTTTTTTAAATGTCCCTTACAAAGACAACAGACTCATTTACACACAGTAGAACAGAGCAGTGCTGCTCTCTACTGGTGAAACATATGTGCAGCATTCTCTATACACATGTAGACACAAAGACATTTATTCCACACCTGCATGCACACATTTCTCTCATTTGACCTTTTAAAGACATACAAATATTATGTTGATCAAATCAAACTGTTTCTTCTAATATTAGGCCTAAAGGAACAGTGCACCCAAAAAATTAGGCTTAAAGGAACAGTGCACCCAAAAATGAAAATTTGCAGAAAATGTAGGCTACTCACTCTCAGACCATGCGAGACGTAAATTAGTTTATTTACACAAACACACAGCTTTAGGCTTCACAAGACATTAATTGATGGACAGAAACGGATTACTTGTGGATTATTGTGATGTTTTTATCAGCTGTTTGGACTCTCATTCTGACGGCACCCATTCACTGCAGAGCATCCATTAGTGAGCAAGTGATGCAATGCTACATTTCTCCAAAGAGTAATTTATTTTGTTAGCACATTTTCCTTTTGGGTGAACTTGAAGGAGGGGAAGGAGGCGGCGGACTGCAGCCAATCAGAGGCGATGGGGGCGTGTCCAAAGAGCTGCAGCTCTCCATCTACCCTGCAGGAGTCTTAAAGAGAGACTAAACACACAAACACACACTCACTGCAGAGCACACACACACACACATACACACACGGCACGCAGGCGCACTTGGATTTCCTAAATCAGACATTAATCACACGCAGCGGATACTACGGACCCTAAAACACATTCTCAGGGTGTTTTAATCACTGGTTGTGCTTGGAATATGCCAATGATCATGTATATACTGGAACTTATTAATTAATGAAGTCATTTGGCTTGGTTATTGTCTCTGAGGACTGTTTAATTGTAATTGTGAAGACGAATCTCTGAAGTACAAAATTATTATTCACGATATGAATAAATAAATGTAATATATTTGAGGTTAATGGAAGCAATATTTATCATAAAAGTGGGATTTTTTTTTAAATAACTAGGATGGCATATGGGGTGGTAAGGAGGTACTGACCCCTTGTGCAAATATGCTGCTCTTCTTTTTAGATATCTGGGTCGTAATTTTAGCACAGTTATCTTTGGATTGACTCAACCTGGACTAGGAAGCAGCTAGACTGGTAAAATAAATAATTATTTTTCATTTTACATTAAGACTATGTCTGTATGCATACTGTAAAAAATAAAAGCAAAACTAAAAATCTCAACAGATTTTCACCCGAGGCTAAACAGGCTGTGCAGATTTTCTCACACACATGACTGTACGACAATATGCTCTAATTGTTGTTGATTTTAAAGCTCACATTGATTTCGATTTGAGATATCATTCATTCCCATGCAACAACAAAAAAAGATATATAGGCCTATATATCAGGACTCGGGAGGATCAATGACGCTGACTGACACTTAATCAACTAAAGTTTGAGTCCTCAAATAGATATTTGTAACTCATGATATTCATTCTTACTGATACTTGTGTGTATCAATCTATCACTGGCCTCGTGCTTATGAACTCCATGACCTTTCTCCTCTGGTTAGCATAATATAAGACAGCACTGACATTGATCAATGAGCAGAAAACCCCACGAAATCTGTTTTTCCCAGTAAGCATCAATCAATATCATTATTATGTTATGACTATGAGGTGTGCAATTAGGTGTGGAATGTCAGTACATCAGCAAAATAGGCATTTATAATGTATTTATGTGCATATTTATTAAGTGTTGTTTTGAAAGTAAACTAATTAAAGAGAAAAAACATGTTTATTTTTTTAAATGTCCCTTACAAAGACAACAGACTCATTTACACACAGTAGAACAGAGCAGTGCTGCTCTCTACTGGTGAAACATATGTGCAGCATTCTCTATACACATGTAGACACAAAGACATTTATTCCACACCTGCATGCACACATTTCTCTCATTTGACCTTTTAAAGACATACAAATATTATGTTGATCAAATCAAACTGTTTCTTCTAATATTAGGCCTAAAGGAACAGTGCACCCAAAAAATTAGGCTTAAAGGAACAGTGCACCCAAAAATGAAAATTTGCAGAAAATGTAGGCTACTCACTCTCAGACCATGCGAGACGTAAATTAGTTTATTTACACAAACACACAGCTTTAGGCTTCACAAGACATTAATTGATGGACAGAAACGGATTACTTGTGGATTATTGTGATGTTTTTATCAGCTGTTTGGACTCTCATTCTGACGGCACCCATTCACTGCAGAGCATCCATTAGTGAGCAAGTGATGCAATGCTACATTTCTCCAAAGAGTAATTTATTTTGTTAGCACATTTTCCTTTTGGGTGAACTATTCCTTCAAAAATCGTGTAATGATATGCTTTTGTACATTATGTACAATTTGAATAGCATATAATGCAAATGACAAAGCACAAAACCATATGTATTCATAGCAAACATTTTTATAAGTAAAGTTTTGATACTATATGCATAACGTATTTAACAGGCAGCACACGTAAGAGGGATTCAGCCACCTTATAGTCTGACATCATGCATAGCTGCAATATAAGTACTGTAGACAGAAAAAAAAGTTCCTGCATATTAAATAGCAACATACAATAATTCTGACTTTTTGTGGTGGGAACTATAGTATTTAGTGCTCAGTACACTGGATTAATACATGAGTAATTAGTAGGCCTACTAATGTAAAACGTGCATGTAATTATTTCCTTGAGCAACATTGTTATTTTTAGTCCTGTACTGACAAAATACATAATATGTGCAATATAGATGCTACTCACACTGTCCAGGACAATCAGTCTGTTGTTTTGTTTTTCACATCTCAGCGGAAGCCTTAACAAAACAAAAAAAAAATCAGTTAATTTTAGTTAAAGATACAAAAAACTAAATATCACGTACACATGTAACTTTCTTGATCTCTACATTTGTGAAATTAATGCATGGAAATAATGCACTGCATTGTGTGACCACAAACTAATTTCTATAGTGTTTAGAAATATTTCAGAACACCACACTCTCAGCAAAAAGGTACAAAAGCTGTCACTGAGGCAGTATACCTTTTTTACTTATTTACCTCTAAATGTGCATTTTAGTACCTTAAAGTTGCATGCTAATAGCTAAAGTGTACATATTACATAGATGGTACATATTAGTACATTTTAAAAGAGTACTGCCCCAGTGACAGCTTTTGTACCTTTTTTAATTAGAGTGCATGATGCCTGATTGGAATTGCAATATAGCTATGTATCTTATTAACATGGACTGAAAGAGGGAAGGTGCTGTTTTCAGCACTAGACACCTGCAGACACCTTACACTACGTCACAAAGAGATAGATGTACGTGTCTGTATCACATAAATGCGTGCACACACACACACACACACACACACACACGTGAAGCTGTCATCAGAGAGAGTGTGAGATGTGTTTTGTGCTCCATACCTACTATATGCTGACATTCTGTTCAAATCTGCCACAAAAGGCTCCGTAATAACAATCTTCAAGAGCCCACAACTGTCTAGCGGAAATTATTAATGCATGTTATTACATTAACAAGAATTAAGTATTATTCCTGAGAGAAAACTGCTAGCGCGCAGGAGTTAAAATGTCAAAAAAAAAAGGTTAATAATCTGCTTTATCAACTTGAGTTTAATTACAAATATCCAGTAGGCTAATTAAAAAGTTCTGTAAAGGGGGCTTGCAGTAGATGTTAACAGAAAACCCTTAAAGTGAAGAGATTCAAAATGGCGTTCTGACTGAAACACCATCAAGCCTGAAAATGTGAATAACAGAACAAGCGGGAGCGATAGAAATAAACCTGTGCGATAGCAGCCTGAACTAAATTGATGACTTTATAAGTGAACAGTGCAAAAATGAGGGAAATAACCCGACGGGATACGCGTTTCACTGCCAACCGAGAGATAACAAAAGAATGCGCCAGCGTTTAAAGCATCAGCCCAGTTTGACCAGTCTTAATATGTCAATCGGATCCATAACGCACAAACCACCGGGAATGCATACGCGAATCGATATGATGAACCTGACCACGGTACCGGTGGGTTCTGGTCGGTAAAGCTGGGCTTTGGGTCGTTGGCAACTTTCCTAACAGCCGAGCTCTTCTCTCAGATCACTCAGCATAGGAGCTCCTGGTTTATATACTGTAACGTTTTACTCGTTTAGATCTATAGCTCATGCATTGCACCAACACCTCTTGAAATGTGTGAATATGAGCCGCGATATGAGAGCCACTTTATTTGGGGCACATTTCATTTATAGAAGGTTTAACAATAAATAATCGGAGAAACGTCACGCGGACTCGGTGGCCGGACTGTGTTAGTTCGTCAACTACTTCAGCTTATTAAAAACGAAAACGACGTTTTATATTAATCAAACCCGTCCTGTCCTCGAGTGTGTTGATGGGGCTTTCATAAACAGTCGGTGTTTTCCAGCTCGATTTCGTTGTTTTGGGCTAATTTTGCGCGAATTCTGCAAAATACATCACGGCGCTCGTCGATTTGGGCTGATTTTCGGAGGAAAAAAGTTCATGGCGCAATGAATTCGGGATAAAACGACACACGCACACAAAGCCCAAAGCCTCCCCTCTCGGACCGTGGCGTTGGGAGGATCGCTACCGAACGAGCCTGGCTAAATTCGGCCTCAGTTCGAGGAGGAAGAAACACAAACCAGCCCGCGCAGATTTCATGGAAGCCCGCTTGATCAGCTGCTGGCAGTTGGTGTTCTCAATCACGTCCGCGTGGAGGCTTCATATAGAGTACAGGCGCACTTCGGCGAATAATATACACACTTTCGGCGGCGCACAAGTGTGGGTCATTTAAATAAATATTTTAAGTGGGACCTGAACAAAGACGAAGGTGAGACACGGTGGTAATTTATTCTGCTATTACTCATTTTCAAGCTGTTAACTTTTTTTTTTGTTTTCAAGCAACTCTAGCACTTTTTTCGTGAGGGAGTTTTTGACAGTTGGGTTCTGTATTTGTTTGAAATCCTCCAGGACCGACCATGGCTGAGACTGCAGCTGCTCCCGCATCCAAACCCAAGAAGACGAAAAGCTCCAAGAAAGCGACGTCGCATCCCAAATACTCCGAGATGATCAAAGCGGCCATCGTAGCCGACCGGAGCCGCGGCGGCGCGTCGCGTCAGTCCATCCAGAAGTACGTGAAGAACCACTACAAGGTGGGAGACAACGCCGACTCCCAGATCAAACTCGCCCTGAAGCGCCTGGTGGCCAGCGGGCTTCTGCGACACACCAAGGGCATCGGAGCCTCGGGCTCCTTCAAACTGGCCAAAGCCGAGGACGCCAGGAAGCCAGAGAAACCCAAACCAGCACCCGTGAGAGTCAAGAAGCCAGCCAAAGCCGCTGCCAAGCCCAAGAAAGCCCCCAAGCCCAAGAAAGTGGCGAAATCCCCTAAGAAAACTAAGAAGGCCGTCGTAAAGAAAGTGAAGAAGGCAGCGGGGAAGAAGAAATCGCCTGTCAAAGCCAAGAAAGTTATGAAGAAGGCAAAGGTGGCCAAACCTGCCAAGGCGAGCAAAGCCAAGAAGGTGAAAACGGCGAAACCCAAACCCAAACCCAAGACAGCGGCCAGGAGAACGGGCAAAAAGAAGTAACGTTAAATTCAAATCGTTAGGACTGACTCATTCGAAACTCAGTGTAAATACACTTTTTGAAGCAAATGTTTTTGGTATATTGTTATTTTTGTAAGGTTTTTTGTCTTTGTGCGCGGACTTCAACCCCACATTTTTACAAGCGTGTTTCTCCAGAAACTTTTTTTGTGCGCATTTGTGATTCTATAAAGATCCCAGACATCGAAACGGCTAAACTGTTATTTATTTTTAAGATTTCTTTCTGGACTTTTTTTTTTTTTCTTTATAAGCTGAACTTTTCTTCACACTATTATTATTATTCAGACATAATAATTAATTTGCCAATTAGATATGACGCTAGAAGATATATTCCTACTGTAACGTTAGGTCATTCTAGGAATGTGAAGAACAATAATAAAACGTCATTGTATGAAGAACGGTGCCCTAAATGATGACGATGTACAGAATCAACTTGTGACGTGGACTGTTGTAGTCTAGTTCCATTGCTGTCCATATAATACTGTCATTGCGCGTTATTCGCATTACTGTGCATCAATAAACTTTTCTCATTGCAAGCAGAACTTTGTCTAGTGTTTTACTGCAGCACCATGGAGAGCACAGATAGTAACGTGAGTTTAAACGGGTACCATGGCAGTGGTCTTCAGAGAGCGCACTTTCCAGCAGAGGAGAGCAAAAGTTGAAGCGCATCTTTGGTTTTGACTTTTGAGGGGCGTTTTGACTCTCTGCTGCTCCGCGGTGTTTGATCAGAGAACTGCAGCTGTCAGTGTCATGCTGGGGTAAATGCAAATGCTTCGCTGAGATGAATATAATAAATATAATTCATAATTGAATATAATGATGAAAAATATAATCGAAAAAACTATTTCAAACAGAAAAAAACTATTTTTTTAAGACTTCAAATTAATTTTAGTTTAAATATGAAGTCTTTACAACTTGGCTTCATTAAATATGGATAATATACAAAGTGGTTGGAAATCTGCTCCGCGGTGTTTGATCTGAGAACTGCAGCTGTCAGTGTCATGCTGGGGTAAATGCAAATACTTCGCTGAGATGAATATAATAAATATAATTCATAATTGAATATAATAATGAAAAATATAATCGAAAAAACTATTTCAAACAGAAAAAAACTATTTTTTTAAGACTTCAAATTAATTTTAGTTTAAATATGAAGTCTTTACAACTTGGCTTCATTAAATATGGATAATATACAAAGTGGTTGGAAATGATCTTTCTTAATGATATAGGTACTTAAACTAAAATAAAGTTAATTGTAGGCTACCAAAAGACAAAACACTGAAAAAAGGCCAAATTGAGGGCCATAAAAAAATAAAATGGTAAGCTATAACCCTGATATAAAAATTTTCATAAAACATTAACTTATAACAGTGAACTCCAAAAAGCAAAAAATAAACATATAATAAATAGTGACCTATTTTAGCATCTAAAATATACACTTTCCTTATGCACAGACAACGGTTTTAAAGTCTGAGATTTCATTAAAAACCTGAGATTTTTTTCCAGCTGACCCTCAAACATTTTATTATAATGAAATATTTCAGACTTCTGTCTCCAATCAAATGCAAATAAATGACTCTACAAAGTCAGATTTGTAGCTCAAGACGCTCTTTAAAACATAAAATTATGCTGGAGAACATGATTATGGCACTCAAATAAAATTCCCTAAATTTCTAAACATGTTCATAATTCAGCTGGTTATGCTGATCATTGTAAATATGTATTAAATGAAAAATAATGCAAGCATTTTCACTAGCAGTCTGACTTTCGGACCCCACTGTACAGTACACATATTTTATCCTTTATGTTGAAAACAAGTAAACTATCCAAAACTCACCTCAAGCATCTCTGATCTGCTCTATGTATATTGCATAATGCTCCTGAAACGTGATGCTGTATCCAGTCTGAACAGTAATGAGATACGGGCTCACTGATACAAGAGGGCCTGCTGCAAACCTCCAGGACCTGTCTGACACATTCATGCATTAAAACTCTATTTATGTTACAGAAGTATATGAATTGGCTAAATAATGGGATAACCTAACAGAATAACACAATGTGTATTGTACAGATAATCAGCCAATCAGCTGCTTGGGCTGAATCATGTGATCAAGTGAATCGCACTACATTTTCAGCATGCTGATGTCATAGAGCACAGTAAACAAAATCACCAGAGAAAAAAAAGCTAGTTTATTACAAAATATTTTTATTAGAACATACTGGCTTCAATCCAAGCATCTCATTTGATGTTGAAGCTGGAAGACCACGGCTGAGGAGACGCAAGCCTGGGGGATTTTTAGGGTAAGTTAATACTGGGCATTAATACTGAACAAAATATTGGAATTATGAAAATTAAACCAATAAATCAGGACCGCCACAGTCGCTTCTTTCTTTTTGAAGGAATATCTTCACATGCAAATTCACGTGAATGAGCAAGAAAGACCCTCAGCCCTGAAACTGGCTTTTGGGTTGCTGGGAGAATGTTTTGAGGCTGAAATAAAAGGTAACATGGCAACAATGTTTTCAAGATAAATCCAGTTTGGACAATATTATAAATACAGTCAGCCAGGCCATCCTTTACTGTCCATCCTGACCATTTCAGTCCATTATAATGGTTGAAGCAACTGTATTCACACTGGTTATCTGTTTTTTGTAACTACAGGATGAATAGCATCAGAGCAATTAATCTAACTAAAATATCATTTAGAATACACTTTTAAACACCATCCATCCCTACTGCAATTTTAAACATAATCAGAAATCATTCATCCCTACAATCAATATAGGCGAACAGAAAAGCAAGATTTTGCAAGTTTTCGGTCCAGTTGAACTATTCTCAAAATCATCAATGGGTTTTGCCTCGGCCGTCTTAAAAAAGTAACACGTACATTTGTCAGTCATGGTCCATACATATAAATGTCCATCTGAGGAATATGAAATGGAAATGAATGGGGACTGATGCTTATTTTGCTTTAATTCGGCCAATTTAGAAGATGCACCTAAATGGGTTAAATACATTCTGAAAATCTGTGAATTCAGAGCCCAAATTATGATTTTCTGCTGACATCTGTAGCATTTAACTAAAATGTAAAGGACCAGTTCACGCAAATGAAAAATCTGCTGAAAATTTACTTATCCTCAGGCCATCCAAGAAACAGATACATTTCTTTATCAGAACAGATTCGGAGAAATGTAGCATTGCATCACTGTCTCACCAATGAATCCTCTGCAGTGAATGGGTGCCGTCAGAATGAGAGTCCAAACAGCTGATAAAAGCATCACAATAATCCACAAATAAGTATATTTGTAATAAACAAATCCATCATTAATATATACATACATTATATATACAGTGGGTACGGAAAGTATTCAGACCCCCTTAAATTTTTCACTCTTTG